AGTGTTAACTGCAGCTGCTACCAGAGTTTCCAGTCTGCTGAACGCCAGCCTTCAGGGAGCAAAACACTTCCTGCTATCCACATGAAGACCACGTTAGGCTGAACGAAAGAAGCGGGGAAACACTAAATTAAAGACTAACATACACTTTCAGCATTTGTGTCATACTCACAAAATACACAGCTCCAAAGCTGCCGTGGCCGATCTCACGGAGGTCCGCGAACAGATTCTCCGGATCATCTTTGCAGAAGAGATCTGCCACCTCCGGGTCTTTCAGATTGCCCGCCCGTGCACTCGAGGGCATGGCCAGGGCCTGGAAGGGGGGGGGAGGGGGTACAGGTTAGCACTGAGTCACTGCTGTGATGAGCGGAAACATTCGGGATCAACACAAGACGACAACAGTCGTTATTTATTTAAATTTGGAATGTGGTCTGGAGGCTTGTTCTGTCTTAGAAGGATGTGATGCGTCAGTTTTCCTCTTCAGTCGAGCACAAAAACATCTTAATGTGTTAAACACGCTGGAACATGGTATTCTTATGCTGCTGTTCATTGACCCATTTGCAAAATCCCCTCACATGCATCAGGACGCATCAGTTTGGAGACATCATGGACTCTAGAGGTGATACAGTGACACAACAGCAGCTATCTCCCTCAGCTGATCAATGTGGGACAGACAGCAGCCAACAAGTTATGACACGTTACAGGATGTTTACCTGACAAAACCACAGAGAGAAACCACAGAGAGGAACAATGCAGAGGAGTGAGGAGCACTGAGGAGAGGGGAAACAAAATGGCAGCTGGTTCTAACAAAGCACATTTAAACATGAATGGATTTCAATTATTAACTGTTTGAGCTGGAACATGTGACAACAGAATAGTGATGGACACAGCTTCAACACCGTAACACTTTCACTCAGGATCGTATCATCTCATTATACGTCACAATTCAAATATTAATGTTGCATTGAGCACGACCATAGTAAAAACCACTAGATCACTAACGAAAGCTGTTCTCAGACATGAGCTGTGTGAATGTTGTGTGGACATGTTGTGTAGTCAGTGTGGGTGAAGCAGCAGCGGCAGATCGCCCGACTCGTGGGGAACATTCAGTCGAGGGGCGGAACAATCGGTGAGAGCGAAAGTTTCCTAAAATGATCAATAAATTGTGAAAATGTTTTACTAGTGACACTGGAACTCTAAAGTAAAACAGCACGACAGTGAGAGGAAAAGGAAAACACATCAAATGATGTAACTTGTGTCTGAAGACAAGAGCAGCGGGAAACTAAACACAGTTCCAACTCAAATCGAAGATCAGTATAAATAAATCCATGAAAATCCAAAGATGAGCCAAGCTGAGCTTCAAATCATCTGACTAACCCAGCCCATTGAATGTAATCTCAGGCTGCACACTGAGCCGTGCTCACTGACGAAGGGAACATCACTTTATCATGGGGCTGATGTAGATGCTCACCCTCGAGTGTCAGCTGAAGCCCCGAGAAGACACGACAACATAACCACGTCTCTGTGAGCGGGTGAATCTATGAAAACTCAGCCTCAGGGTCTGATTAAAGCAGCACTGAGAGACTTGTTCTTTTAAAGCACAACGCTGAAAAGCGCCAGTAAATCTGTGTGACACAATGAGACAGATTCCCACCCTCCAACCAAACACTCTTCACAACACAGTCGACCAATTCCCAATTATATATTATGAGGCCTGATGGTGTTCAATCAACTGCAGACAAGTAGACGCCCGCAGCTATAGTCAGTGGGAGTGAGTATTTTCACTTGAGAGGAAGAATTGGGTATTTGAGTCCCCTCACGCGCTCGCTATGTAACTGTGATGTCATGGTTCAGATCTGACCTGGGGCCATTGTATATTTTCAATAAATCTACAAGTTTTCACAATCAGAATTGATGCCATGGACATTATTGTGACCTTTGAATGCGGGTCCACATGTAAACAACAACATATGTCGTCAGCCCTGTTGATTGTTTTCAGATTCGTTCAAATGGAAAACCACCAGCTCGTCACCGGTTTGTTAGAATGAGACAACGTTTTTTGGAATTTTCCGAGGAACAGGGTTGTAACAGGTTTAAACGTTTTAACACTGCGACACAAGTTTCCTCAACTTCCAAAGTGAAAACAAAACTAATTCACACAAGTTCAGTCAAGTTATATTTAAAGACGAAACACTGAGCAACAGAATGGAAAAAGGAAACTGAGGCCCAGACAGTTCTGTTTTAAGACAACCCCTGATGTGACCTTTGGTGGTCACATGGCTGAACTCGGCCCATGACTCGATAAACGTTCAACATAAAAGAAGCTCCTTGTTGTTAAATACGTCACACACAGTATAAATGCATGGCCATTTCTTGTTGTAAAAATAATTAATTAAAAGGAACGAGGAACAACAATTTTCCGTGGGCATGGTTCAAACCTTCTACTGAAGCATTAACTCTGAAACATCTAATTAACTCATATTGTAAACTGCTCACAGCCATCGGGACAAACTGCTCTTCTGTGATTAGAGGTTAAATCTCCAGATGCACACGGCGTCTTCAGAAGAAACTGACTCTCTTCAAGTTATTTAGGAGGAAACAAGGACATTTGAGATGTGTGGCATCGATTTAAGTTTGCAGAAGCATTACATCAACCTCGGCCCTGAGGCGGAAAACTCAGATCTGTGAGGTTGGTGTTGTTTGGACACTGCAGCTCCATAAATGGCCTCTGCTCCACCCTGACACATTAAATACCTCATCAACACAAAGTGGTTCTGCTGGTTACACACATGTTGTTACACACAACCAACAACATCTGGTTTATTGTCATGTGTTGGTTTCTCTTCATTTGTCCACGTGAGGAAAAAACAATCCTCCGGGACAACAGCACAACCAGATAACCTGATAACCAGACCTCAGTCCATTGATCCGTTCATAGACGATGAACGTTTAAAAACCTTATTAAATGAGGAGTGCAGCGTTACAGCCCCGCATCACCGAGCACAGTTAAAACTGTGTCCGTGGAAGAAGCATCGTCAGAGAGACTCAGCTCCGCAGACAACACTTGTCCTTCAGAAGCTTCTGCAGCTGGATTCTGCATCAGTCTGCTCTTGGAGCGACAGTCCGCGTTAGACTCCCGGGACTAGACGTGCAGAAGAAACACGTCACAGATGATCCGGGAGACGAGGCCTCGGGAGACACACCGCGGACCACCGGGCGTCCACGGACCCAAGTTTGAAAACCTCTGGAACGGCCAACTGGGCTAGCTAGCTCTTGCAGCTAGCCGGGCAGCTAAGCTAATGTAGCGCTACTCACCGCGGCTTATTGTGGTTCCGCTCTGGACCGAAAAACAACTGTTAGCAGCCGAGCTAACGAGCCTCCAGCCGCATAGCCTGGGTTTCCTCCCCGCAGAAGATCAACGCGACGTCCGGTCCATTCCCGCCGAAGTCCCCCTGAATCCCGAGCCCGCTGTGGAATTGACAAACGGCTTCCGAACCGGAAAATGAACCGAGGACTGGCCGGTCACCGCTCCAACGTTCCTGGGTCACTAGCCTTAGCTAATTGGCTAGCTTAGCGGGGTTAGCTTGTGGCTAACGTTACGGTTAGCGGTGGAGCGGGGTGTGGCTGCTCTTTGTCCGCGGGGCTTCTCCTCGGCTCATGTCGTCCCGCTGCACCGACACGTTCTCAAACTGTCCGCCTGAATCAGAGCGACTATCTGCGGCTCATCCTGACGCTGCTGCCGCGGCGCCTCGCTCCGTTTTTGTTCTTGCTAAATACAAGATGGCTCAGGCTGCGGGGCGGGACTAACTGCGCCGACCGGAAACTGACGGTTCTGTTTCCGGTGCTGGTCCCGTTCAAAAATAAAAGCTCATGAATGAATTGACCCAGATAGTTGTGATGAAGAGGAGCACAGATTCAAGTTCAAATCACTTCCGGTCAGCCCCGTGCCCCGAACACGTGTCCTCCCTACAACTGCTTTAAAACACTATAACTCAATTAATATGGTTCTTCACTTTCAATGACTTGTTTTATTAAACCAGATCACATGCACAAAGTTTTTATATATTTCAGTATTTAAACCCTTTAAAATTACACTTTTTAAATCGTAATTGACTGAGAACAGACAAGAAGAAAACAACCTGACTAATGACAAATCACCACTTTCTAGAAAAACCACATGACCCTCAGCTGAGGCTCCTGTCGGCGTGGAGGAATAAAAAGCAAAGAAGGAAAAAGTGAAATTAAACCCACATTTCTTTTGTAGGAAATTGAAAGAACAATAAGTGTGTCTGATGATCTAAACAGTTGTTAAAGTACTCGTTATATATATATATATATTGCCATAATTCTGTGAAGTACCGTACTATACTACTAGTAGTATTTAGTATGAGTAGATGTTATTCTCGCAGATTGTAAATAGTAGCTAGTCTCTTTTGCACATCACTGTATCACCTACTACTTGCACTGTTTTATCACTTTAGCACTGTACCACTTCTACTCTTTGCACTGTTGTATGTTTTTATGTTCTTATGCTTCTTGATTACTGAAACATTCAACCCAGTCACCTCTGTTTTAACTTTGTCCTACATGTATGCTCTTTCTATGTAAAAACAGGAATTGTACTTATTGCACGTGTCCGTACTGCTGGAACAAAAGAATTTCTCCTTGGGGATGAATAAAGTATGTCTATCTATCTATCTTACACTGTGTACTTTTTGAGTAATCCTCTGTTAAAATCCCCCCCACATACGACCAGTCCTAAGAGGTCTAGAAACTGCTAAGAGCATCAGCCATGTTGTCCCTGTATGCTGGTGCCATGAAATGTGAGCGTAGCTCAGCACTCTCAGATTGATCGGTTCTTTTAGCACGTTCATGCACAACAGTGAACAAAACGACGTGCTGAACATTGAGCAACAAATGAACATCGTTAGCTTTAGGTAACAAAACTCTGTAATTAAGTTCAGTGAACATGTGATCATGAATTCAGCATCAACTCCAGATGATAAGAAAAAAGTAAATAAAGCATTTATTTAACATTTCCAGTCCAATATAATCCACACTGAAAAGTGATTCTAATACACGATTGCATCTGTTAATATAAAATCAAATTAATTGGTTATTTGTCAGAACAATTTAATGCACTTCATGTAAGCTTTGTTTAAACAGTAAATCACAGTTGGTCACAGCTGTTCAGTGTAAAAATAGTCTGAAAGTATTAAAAGTTACAATAATAATACAAAATTTAAAAGAGGTAAAAAGTAAAGATGTTTTTTCATTGTCACAGGTTCAAGTTTAAAAACTTTACCTTCAGTGCAAATAAATGAATATTTATGCTCATTAACACAGGTAATTAAAATGAGTTTTCAGGTAAAAGAGTCAGACAGCTTGATGGACGATGAGGTCCTGTACTAATAAGATCATTAATAAAGTTCATTAATAATCCCACAGTGATAAAGTAACTTATGATCACTTCAAACTGTATTATAACCAACTAATGTTCAACCTAATCATCAAATAGAGTAAAACATCATTAAGTTTATTCAATTTATTTTCTATTTGTCTGTAATATTTGATTAACCTGGTTCAGACGGATGTTTTTATGGTTATTTCTTCATTAATCTTCCTGACGAACATCTGGCATCATCAAATGTCCTACGAGAGGACGAAGAGAGGGAGGAGAACAGGAAGGAGGGACAGCAGCAGTGGAAGCGAGAGTGAGTAGATGCGAGCGGCTCCGGTGGCTCCAGAGCCCGTGAAGGAGACGAAGCCCGGCTGGTCGCTGGTGATTTGGCTTTTGATCCAGGACTCATACTCAGACACTCGGGTGTAGACTCCTGGGAAGTCGGGTTCAGCACAGCCATTTCCAAAACTCACCACTCCCGCAAGGACCCACTTGGAGTCATTTTTGCTCACCAAGGGGCCGCCTGAATCTCCCTGAACAGGTCACACAAGACAGTTAAAGGTTCAGTGTGTAGAATGAAGTGACATCTAGAGGTGAAATGTCACGTTGCAGCTGAATTCCCCTCACCTCACCCCATAAAGTATTTCAATACAAATTTCAACAAAACAACAATTCATACAATATAGATAGAACACACTAGTTAATACATCATTAGATCCGTTTCACCCAAATCTTGCAGACCGAACATTTAAATAGCAAACGTATCAGACTCATGAATACTGGTCGTCCATCTTGTAATCTAAGCATTGGAGCCCCACTAGCCCCTGCTGGTGCGTATATGTTGTGTTGGAGGCAGACTCACCTGGCAGGAGTCCTTCCCTCCCTCGGACAGACCTGCACAGATCATGTTGCTTGTGAGTTGACTGTAAGCTTCGCGACACGTACTCTGGGACACGACGGGAACCTGCACCTCCTGCAGCCGCTGAGGGGAAGGGAGGGAAACTGACAAAGAACGAGAACGTTAGCATTTACAGAAGTGAAGGTTTCGAACCTTGAAAATAAAGTGTTACATCTCACATTATTTTACTGTTGGAGGCCATAAGAGCGATCCTCCCCTTCCACTCATGAGTGCGTCAGCTGAATTCAGTCTGACTGGAAGAGCTCTGTTCTATCTAAAGAGACATGTGGTGGCCGGAGCACAAACTCCTGTGAAAGCTATTACAATCATAATTGTAAGAATAATACTAATACTAATTGTAAAAATATCAGAAATAGAATTAGTAATAGTAATAACAGAGCACTTACCACCAGAGTTAATAGTTCCCCAGCCGGTGACCCAGCAGTTTGTCCCAGTTGGGAAAACACTGTCAGCTGATGCCAGACACACAGGTCTGATGTAGCTGGTGAAGTCCACGGTCGAGGACAGTTTCAACAGGGCTATGTCGTTGTCATTGGAGTTTTCATTATAATCTGGATGTCTGATAACCTGGGACACTGTCCGGGACTCCTCGTTAGGATTCAGGCTTTGTTGAGTGTCACGTCCGAGGTAAACCAACAAACCGAACGTGCTGTCGCTGAGAAAGACAAACGAACAACACGTGAGGGTTTGACCAGGGCTGTGACATCAGCAGGACGTTGGTTGAATGATGATGTAACTTCAAACTCTTTCTTTAAAGGAGACTCATGAAGCTTTTCACTGTTTGTTTCCTCGTGTGTTTTCTAGTATTTTGTGAATGTAAAAGATTTGCACAGTTTAAAGTTCTGTTTCTCTCCTGCACAGAAAACAGTGAAGCTCCTGAAACCACTCGTCAGTCGTCCCCATCACATCACAGTGTCACGCTTTTACATAATGTGCATCTGGCACCTCGCTAACGGAGCCAGGGACACGTTCAACCGCTAAATGTTTTTGCATTGATGCGGATATAAACTCTGTCATGTTAAAAGACAGTGACACAGTGGATCGTCAAGTTCTCTACAGATCAGATTCATCAACTGAAGATGTTACAGGACATGTTGGTATTTTATAATGAATTTATTCAATACAATAAGATAAAAGTGATGTAATCTGAATATATATGTTCAAATCAAGTGTATTTTATTAAAACTCATCAGGAGATTTCTTTCTCAAGAACAACAAGAAGGACCTTCTCAACTGCCATATTAGAACGTTTGTGCATCACAACAGAGCTCGATGCACCCCCGTTAGCATTTAAATAAACATTTTGTTAAGTTTGTCCGTGCTGAACTCAGGAGGAGAGTTTAAAAGAGAGGAGCTAACAAGTGTTTGAGACAGAGGCTGAAAAGAGGAGCTGCAGCGATGGACAGTCCGAGGACAGAGATGTTTCCTGAACATTAGAGCATGAAGACACTTTACAGTCATAACTGTCATTAAAATAATCACCATGAAGATGGATATAATTATAATAAGTCTCCATCAAAGCTCCAGTGTGTAAGATTTAGGTGAAAGGGACTATTGGCAGAAATTTAATGTAGAATAATCCTCGTGATGTTCCACTAGTTCGTTTCATCTAAATTGTATGAATTGTAGTTTTCTTTTAAATACTTTATATTTAAATACTTTATATTTACATACTTTATATTTACATGGAGGGGACCCTCTCTACGGAGGCCGCCATGTTTTTTACAATAGTCCAGACAGAACAAACTAAAACCTTTAGAGTTTTTATGACGACTGAAGCTGCCACAGGTTCTTCTTCATGTTTGGAAGGAGAGGGGGAGGGGAGGGGTGTTCAGCTGCAACATGACACTTCACCACTAGATGTCACTGAACTCTACACACTGAACCTTTAAACTCACATCCTATTCACATTAGGATTGTTGCTGTAAATGTGGTGTTTGTGTCGACAGGAGCTCACCTACTGAAACAGTGAGCAGCAGTCAGGATCCACTGGCTGTTGATGAGGGAGCCTCCACAGAAGTGAGCAGAGGTGTGCAGACTCACCTGCCAGGGCCACGATCCTGCAGGAGCGTCCTCGCCACCTACGATCTTCGTGTTGAGCGGTGCGGTGCCACAAACTGGGTGGAGACGGTCAAAGGTCAAGTCACCACTGCCGCTGTTTGTGTGAAGTGTTAACTGTCCCTGTCAGTGTGAGTGTCTCAGTTCTGGTTTCATTTGATTTGTGAATAACGGTCAAACCGCCAGGGTGTGTGTGTGTGTGTGTGTGTGTGTGTGTGTGTGTGTGTGTGTGTGTGTGTGTGTGTGTGCGTTTAGTGAAATCAGAAAAAACTGAGGATTCAGCCATTAATTACTGTGGCAGAAGAAAAATTGAAAGACTAAAGAAAAGTGTGAATAAGAAACTCACCGTCTAACTGTGCGTGGTTTCCTGTGGGAGACACAATAATGAAATACTTTGTTATCTATTTAACCTGAAACTGACGTCTCCTTTGTGCCACAGTGAAATATATTCAAACTTCTTGATCGAACACACATCAGAGCACAGAGGAAACCAGTAGGTATGTCGCTGGGTCGGTTTGGAACAGGAGAAACAACTGGTTACTTCAGAGTGAGGCGAGTTACAGAAACAAAGAGATTGATGGATGACAAATGAAGGAAGAATTTCCTGTTAAGACAACATCTCTTCAGAGGAAGAGTTTCAACTGTGACATAGCAAATATTTATCTGTGGATTTACGATGACATGAGAAACGAACCCTGACAGAATGAAACCAACGTGTTTGAACTGAAAACTCTTCACATGGAACCTGTCCGATGAAATCTGTACTAAGTTTTAAAATATAAATTATAAATAAATAAACTTCTATATAAAATTCTTGACTGGTGATTAAAAACTGAATCGTAAAAACGTATTTCTTGTTTTTAGCATAGTCACACTCCTCTGATCCTTGTTAGATAAAGCAGAGGGAGAAGCTGGAATCCTCCAGTGACACAATCACTGAGAGTCCCAGGAACCAGCAGCAGAATCCACTTCCTGTGTGAACAATCAACACTGAGAGGCAGAACTGGATTTTCATGTTGATGTATTTTTTTAAATTCTGAATCTGCTGTCAAAGGTAAAAACCACAAACCAGCACTTTTACAAAGTCACACCTTTGTGTGATGTAATAAAAGTGGATTTTCAGGTTGTCAGAGAAAACACATCGTGTTTGTGTGTAACCAGCAGTTTCTGTGCTCGTTGTTCAGCTGCATGTTACCATGTCTGTGAGGAGCTGAACTGAACCTCAGACTCCAGATCAGCTTTCTGTTGCTCAGTTTCAACGTATCAACGCTCCGACAACAACCAAACGGACCACAGCTGCAGGACGCTGAACCCATGTCACCACGATCAAATCCCTGCTTCACTGTCCCTCTGTGTGTCTTGTTACTGATTTTAAAGTCTTCTTGTTGAATTTAAAGTCCCTGTGTGAGCGTCTGATGTCGAGGGGACGGGGCCCCGGCTGTCAGGGCCCCGGCTGTCAGGGCCCCGACCCTCTACTTTACCTGAGGTCATCTCTCAAAACTTACTTTCACCAAACGTCTTTAACACAAGAGTTTTTAGGTTTAATGTTGTCTCATTCATTTCTTTTACCACCACTGATTTTATAATAAAACCCTATTTCATCCTAATTCCTTTGCTCCACCATCAGTGGATATGAATTTGTGTATTTGATATAAAAGATGGATTAAAGTGAGTTTGTCTGATGTGAAGTTATGAACCAGTTTCAAAGAGAAATTGAAAAAGTTAACATATTCCACTCAGATTCTTTTCACTGAGAACAAGTCAGATTGTTGACAGTGATCCTCTCCTGACAGGTTATTTAACAGCACCCACCTGAGACCATGAAGACGAGCAGCAGCACAGCACAGACCAACAGCTTCACCTCCATGTTTGAGTCTTCAAACGTTGTGTGGTAATAAACAGAGCAGCGGAGTAAAGTGTGGCGGACCAGGAAGGTGTGACTCCTCCCGTCAGGTAAGTTTGGTTTCTGTCATTCTCCACCCACAAATACAATACCTCACATACCCCAGACAACATTACATACCTCTGTTCTTTATTAACATGAAACATACCTCTGTTCTTTATTAACATGAAACATACGTCTGTTCTTTATTAACATGAAACATACGTCTGTTCTT